TAAATGAGCACATTACTGCCAGCATCGGTTAGCAATTTTTTCGAACGAGCTGTACCATTTTGTGTCCGACCTGTCAGCAGCCGCACGAAATTTTCCACAGTCACTTCATAGCCGCGATAATCTACTTCCACATCATCACCATAAACATTAATATGCTGCTTGGCATTATTATAGACCTGTCCGGGGCGAGGATTTCGCGGATTACAAGCCATATCATCAGCCAGCATGAGTATAATCTGTGAATCAGGTATGCCTAGCCGCTTCACTGAACGATAGATGCTCAACACATTGGCCACATGGCGATAGTTGAACCAAAACCGCGAGGCATCCACAAGCACAGCCCAGTTGTTGGTGTGCGTTGAACGTTGCACAGATTCTACATACTTCTCGGGTAGCTGGTTGTTGGTCTGCCGGTCGTAGAACGTGTTTATTAGTATGGAATTGTGATGCAGTGCATCGCGTTATACACTTACCTCCTGGCTAGCGATTTGTGTTAATAAACAACAAATAGAGCAAGCAAGTAGCAGTGCCTGTTTCAATTTAATCATTTTAAACACAACTATGCTGAAGAAATAAACAAACTTTAATTTTTTTGACAGCACAACCACAGCTGATTTTCGAACAGCTGTTTGTTTTTCGCCCGTCAACCGCAAGCAAATTGGAACTGAAACAAAAGCAACCCTGCACATTAACACAGAGTGAGATCGAGCACTGAGTGCAGAAAACGCAGGGTGTACTGATGACTAGTTTCAGTGTCATTCCGTTATTTCGAAAAATTTTATGATGCATTTCCGAACGTTGTTTTTTGCAGTTTGCTTTTAATAAGGATTTAAATTTTTCAAATTATTTCGAATTTCGAGTACGCAGTTTTATTTAATTTAAATTTCAGTATCATATAACAAAGCATCTGATCAACTTTTATTACAGCACATCAGATCACATCGCATCTCATCAAATTGCATCATATCAGCGAATTTGTAAGAAAGTCCCAAGAATATATGAAAAAAAAATTTTTTTGCAAATTTTGATATGCCTAAATAACATATATTTAAAGATTTATGGCCGTAGGCTAACGATAACCCGTGCTGACTTTTAGTTCAAATTTTAGTTAATAACTTCTATTAAGGCTACCAAATCGTCCATGAAAACTTTGGAAATGCGAAAAATTCGATACGTTTCCTATATTTGAACGCATTTCTAGTAAATCTGAATCCTTAAATTTTGAGTAGGACAGTTGGATTTCTCCCAAAGACATCGAAAAAATTAATTAGTGGAAAAAGTAAAGTGGTATTGTAAGGGTGCAAAACGATATACTTTTAGAATAATTTCTGTATGTCCTGGAAATTTGTGGATCATTTTTTAATTGGTCTGACAAGGCGCATGATGAACATTAAATGACTAAATTCAACTTTTATAACAAATTCTTTTCCCTCTTTTAACAAAAAATTCCTTTCATAATATTAAATAAACATACTTAAGTGTTTTAGCGTTTGACATATCCTCTCGGGTTAATTAAGCAACAAATGTGGTAGTATTAATATAAAAATTTTAAAAATGTCCTTTGAAAACTTTTTCCTTTAATGTCCTTAAAGTAGAAAATCCTGACTGCCTGTTAAAAAACCAAAAAACGCAGATTGAGTAAATATTATGTCCTAATACATTAGGGATTATAGTAATACCTTCTTATATAGAAGTAAAATGAGTAAATTAACAAAACACGCTGCAAGTCGGCCCGGGTTGCCGTGGTTCGAATTGCATAAAATCTTATTCACTTTATCCACGTAACTTAACGCATTATCACAACGAAATAAATCGTGCTTGCTAAGAATTCTAAAATGTATCAACTGTCATCACATCACAACACATCTCATGAAAACATCGCGTAGTCACAATCAAATCCTTCATGTCAAATCAAAGTTAAACCGCACATTTGCTGCAAGACTGTAATAATCCAAAAAATCAAGAAAAACGGCTCAAATGTTTAAAGTGGTCTTATAAATCATACGAATTTTCAATTCATAATATCAAATGACATGTACGGATATCGCATCACATCATATTAAAATTCAATCACATCATATCACAAAACATCACATCAACTCTTACTACAGCACATCAGATCACATCACCCTCACCAAAATGCATCATAATCAGCGAATTTGTTAGAAAGTTCTTACATAAGTATTCTGTTCATATTATCAAAAGTAATAATTGATACTTTATACGGTGTTCGCATGAGGCGATTTTACATGCATTTTTTTGTTGAATGCAACAATCGCCTGGTGTGAACGGCCTTTCAACTAATCGCTTCTATTGAAGTTGGGGTGCAGCCAACTTTTGACTCAACTAATCGCCTCTAAAATTGCTGGGAAAATCGCCTCATGCGAACACCGTACCATGTCACACCAAAATCATAGGTAGATTTATCATATCACACGTAGCGCATGATATTTAATGATCGCATGAAATTCAATTATCTTATCACATATTGCCACATCACATAACTTCACTTCGTGTCATATGAACTCAAATCACGTCATCTATAACCGCATATTTAGCATACCTTAGAAATCATTTCTAACTCTTTGCGAGACATCACATCTAAAGTGACAATTGAAAGCATATCATATAAAATTACACTTACTAATTACTCACCACAATGGTTTTCGCCTTCGCTTGGTAGGTACATAAATATAAATAATAAACATGAGCAACTTTTTTAACACATACATTTGTACCTCATATATATTTACTTAAATTTAAGTTATTATGTTAGTTTAGTCTGTTTTAGTTTTAAACATTCATAGAAGGAAAAAAAAAATTGAAATTGTTTCCACTTTACTGCTTTTCCACTCCCGCTACAGCTTGAGTTGCAGCATGCTTCAGATTCGGCGAAAACATTTCCCAAATATGTTGCTGATACCTCTGCGTCTCATTATTCAAACCACCCACACAATTCAAATAGCGCGCACAACATCCCGGAAAGGCTGCTTGCTCATCAACATAATCGCCCCATTCGCAGCCATCTGGAGCACCAGTAGAGCCACAACTAAAAGTCAATTTTTAAAGAGAGATTATTATCAGATTCTATATACATATGTAAATACGAAAATATTTCATCAAACAAAAAACTGCATTAACATACACTTCTTTAAATATTTCACGCCCTCAAAAAAATCTCCTCAACACTCACCCAGTGATCGTTGCATCGCCTGCTTCATTGTGGCAGTCTATTTCCGCACAGCTATCTGGTGACTTCACCTTCTCACCGGGCGCAATGATCAGCGTTTCGGTGATGGTACATTTACCTGGATTCGCTGTGCATCAACAAAATATTCAATTAAACGTTAATTATCAAAGAAAACAGTATCTACGCTCACCGTCATTGTGATAGTTGCCTACTGCCTGCCATGACGCCACCTGCCCAACGCCAAGGCAGAGTAACGTTGCCAACAGCGGCAACACTAGCAAGCGCCAACACATTTAGGTGTGTATAGTGCGCCTCCACTGAGGCACAGAAAGTGACTAAACTTGGCCAAAAAACGAGTATGCCTTAAAAAGCCAAATGCGGTTGCTCTCAGTCGAATTTATTGAATTGATTTGCGGCAATAAATGAGCGTTAGTGGTTTTGTAGAGTTGCCAAGGCAATGGAAATAAGACCTCGGAAATGCCTTTTTAATAAATATATTAAATGGTTTTTACAAATTGCATTATATAGTCTATATTATTTATTTACGTGAGAATAAAAGCTCGCTCTAATCGTCCCTGGACTGCATAAACACAATTAAGTTTGTGGGACAGGTATTTAATAATACTAAATAATACTTCTTAAAAATGCGTCCAAACTCCTTCATCGCAAAAAAACATAATAGCCATCAACCATAAGCTTTGAGTCCAAGTCAACAGCCACATTTTTCACCACCCAGACAAAGGAAATAAGCTTCGACCTCAACGCGGAAGTCGATTGAATCAAAATGGCGACTGGGATCCATCCAAAGATAGTGGCTGTCAAGTGCGATGGGATTCCTTGCTTATCCGCGTACACTCCAGCGGTATTCAAAGGATCGAAAAAGGTTCTCGAATCGCTCACCGCCACACCGCGTAAGAGGAAAGCTCAGTCACCCAGAAGAAGAAATAGACCCACACCTTTACGATCCGCTAAGTGACGAGACGGCACTGTGATACTGTCATCCTTGGCCGGCCGCGATCCATTAACATGACCTTGCTTTAACCTCCACGCGTGACAGATCCACCTTAGCAAAAGTTAGATCCAGCTGATGCAGGCGATTCAATTCTTAAGGAGCCAGGCTAGACGCTGATATAGCTGACACTTGTTCAGCATTCGAGAATCGTCCGCAGTGCTTTCTGAGCTTACGGTTGGAGGAGTCAAGTATGTAAATAAGACACTCAACTATTTCGGTAGAAAAATGCTATAACAACAACAAACGCTACAAAAATTCTCCTCCCGCTGGAAAGATCCATTACTTTGACAGAAGACTTGATTATAGATCTTGGGTAAAATAATAATAATAATAGATTGGCGTTAACACATAGGTTAATGTTTTGCCGAGCTCTCCTCTAATACAGTTTTACCCCGACTCCGAATGGCGATTGTATTTTTATGAGAAGCTACTTCTAATGGCAAAGATACATAGAGCATGCTGGCCAAAATCCCTCATGACTTTCAATGAATTAATTGTTCTTTAATGAGAGAAAAGGAGCTAATGATCAATGAGAACAGGTATATGAACCAAAGCGTTTGTTTTGTCAATGTTGTTTTGGCTCAAACCGTGCCATTTTATCCCTATTTTATTTCAAATGCCACTTAATTTTTCAATTCGGCACAGAGTGCCAAAATGGCATTTTTGAAAAATAAGAACTTTTTAAATAAATTTTTGTGGAAACCTTTTCGTGTACTTCTTTTTTCAACTGAAGTGTTCTAATTTCTAAAGGGTATTCAACTGGCCTATCTTTTTTTATCATTGCACTTTTATTTTGAACCAAATTTTGTTCCTATTTTATTCCTAAGTAGGAAGGATTAAAAAGAATTACACCTTTTCTGACACTTTTATTTTCCTATTTGGCACATTTTGGCACTTTTTTATCCTCAATATGGCACCTCATAGCTAGGGATAGTTGGCAGCCCTGGTGAGGGGTTAGCATCACAGAAGGTACATGTACGCTAGGAATGTTAATCCCGGCATCCCGGGCTTTCGGCCTTTTTAGGTCCCAAAAATCCCGGGATTCTTGGCAAATAATCCCAGTATTCTCGGGATTTGTAATTTGCACTGATGGTAATAACTTTTCTTGACCAGCATTGGCTATATTTCTTTTTTATACACGAGCGCACTTGTGCACAAGGGTATTATAACTTTGTTCACATAACGGTTGTTTGTAACAGGCGAAAGGAATCGAGATAGATATAGCCAAATGTATACATAAATGATCAGAATGAAAAGAGAAATCGATTAAGCGGTGAATGTCTGTCCGTCTAAGATATCTTAACGAAACTTGGTACGTGCACTTCTTTCGGGCGTAGGACGGATGGTATTGAAAATGAGCAAAATTGGACAATAACCACGCCTACCTCCCATATAA